CTGGATAGCCCACAGACATACCATAAACATTTCTAGGACCCATAATTGGTCTCCTTTAATGCTGATATATCATGCATCCCTATACCAAGATACAGTATTTACCAGCTCACAATCACAAACATACAGGGATTAGATATCTGGAAATGTCCTGACTCCATAAAAAGTGTACATGGTCACTTTTCTTTTGAAAGAAATCATTTTATGATCAAGGCAGAGTTGTGATCAAAGAGCCGAGTGTTTCTTTCCTTTTGTTCTAATCTGAGTCAAGAAAACGTGATTTCGCTACATTACCTGTGGAATCGCAGATCACTCCCACACCTTTTATAATTTCCACTCCGTGATCTTCAGTCACTCATTGCACATTAGATGCAAAGCAAACAGAGCAAGGCAGCTGAGGAAATCAAATTTCCTAATAAAATCAGAGGAGTTAACGAGCCTTGTGTAATTGCAGTTCAGGTAACTTGTGTCACAACTGTGAGAGTCTTTTCAAGTGCAAATGAAAGGTTTCTGAAAGAAGCTGCTCTGAACTCACAGTCTGACCTTCTTCTTTTTTCAAACGGATGGAGTGTCTTCATCATTTACACGGCTGCACAATTATATTTAGCATGCTGCCCTTTCAGCCATATCTGATCTTAAGGAGACACATGTTGCTGGACTTAGAGTGGCTAAAAACCATATCATTGATGTTAAATAAGATGTAGAGATGATGCTTTCAGTTCTTTTTCATGCGTAGAGATGAATGAAAGTATCTTTAAATTAGAACTGTGTATTCTAGAATGTTGTACAGTACTACATTCTTAGCGTGAATATTTTTCAATCTGAGTCTTTTACTGCTAAATTACTTTTTTTCTACTTTATCCTCAACAGCTGAATGAAAACCTCAATGAAAAGTTACAATGGGGATGTTTACTCTGGCTATTTTTAGAACACTAGTCAYGTGACTATAGCTGAGTTTCCATTGTAAATGTGCGCAAAACTTTGTTGATATTCTGTTAATGTCGAAAAACACTGTTTCGCAATTGCGGTGTTTCCATTAAGTAAGAAATGCTATTAAAGTCACGCGTGAATACATTTGTTGTCACGATTAGTCATTACAAACATGGCGGCAATGGATGTAAACACATAGCATGTTGCTACCGCGACACTAGCGCTCATCATCAGAGGAGACGTTGGCGCATTTTATCGAGGCTTTCAAGTGACAAGTCCCTACTTGGGAGCGGCTACGTATGCTGTATTTTTAGGAAATTGTAGTCTGTGAGTTTACTACTTTCTTTTACTACTTCTGTGATATTACTACTATTTCTACTTTCTGTTATCTTCTTTGTCGTCTTTTTCGCCAGTAGAAACAGCCAGTCGTTGGTCACGTGACTCCCGTGATGCGAAAAAAGTGTTTCCATTGCAGTTTTGTGAAAAAACAATTTCGATATAGCCGAAAAACCACCTCATCTTAGCGCAAAACCATTTTGTCGAAAAACATGTTTTTTTCGAAATTGACGTGTTTCCATTGAGCAAATTTATTTTCGAAATTCTAATTTGCGCATTTTCATGGTCAATGGAAACACAGCTAGAGTCTGCTCAACACTGTTGCACGTACAAACCTTGGTACCAACCTTCGACCTACAAACCTTCGCCGGTCTAGCTGTGTATGAACCTAAATAAACTTGGGAAAATTGCATCAAACTCCATCAGGAGAACCACAAAACATTGTGCTACATTATTGTAACAGTCACTCAGGATACATCCATCATCCCAACATAAAAGGAGTGTTTTTGACCACTTTTCCCAAGCTAAGATGCTAGGCTAACAGCTAGATTAAAACCTAGTAGTCTATTTAAATGTACCACATCTATACTTATTTTACACTAAAAATGAGGCAGTGAACTTGAAGTTTACTTTTTATAAACTATATTTGATATACTTAAAAATAGTAGTATAGGTCTACTTGACATTGTACTGAAAAGTATAGTTTAAGACTAAGTATATTAATACTAAGACTTAAACTTATACTTTTTTAAAATGTTATATAAATTTATTAAAGTTGTTCTCAAGATTCTGTCTTGTGAGTTTGTGAACACATTACAGTATAGTGTATATACAATATGAGGTATTTTAAGAATACTTCAGGAAGTATTTTGCAGTACATAGTGTTCTACAAGTAAGCAAACTTATAGACTAAACATTAAAATGGCAAAAATAGTATTTTATTTTTACTAATTCATAAAAGTGTACTTATCCCTGCACTTTCTGTTGATAAACAGGTACAGTAAATCATTTTTTTTTACTGTAGCCTACTGCTAGCTTTACTCCTAGCATCCATGCTAGCCTCCTACAGCGATCTACTGCAGTCAGTCACACACAGTGATAATATACTTACACAAATTCTAAACGTCACCATTATGTTTCTTTAAACGGTGCAGAAGAGGTGGCTCGAGTGGATAAAAATACAGACACAAGCAGACAAAAGACGCAGCAAGCTAAGCTATAATAAGGCATCAGTAAAAAAAAAAAACAACCTTTTTACAATTCCGCCTTGACCCTCCAGCCAGCCTTTCAACTGTGATCYCTGATGTCGAATTTGTCGAAATTTACTCTAGGAACGTCTTTTTTTTTTTTGTTACAGTATTACCACTGACTCTGTAGAATCTAGTCKGTCTGATCTTTTGAGCGAGTGGCAGATATTGTATGCAAATGATATTCGTGACGTCACATGTGAAGGTCCCCATTTGTATTTTGTTGCTGTTGGCATTAGCATGAGTTTCTTGTAATTAAGTAGTATTGTTTAATTTTATCCAGAAATTACTCTAACAATCATACAAATACACTCAAAAATCTTGCTTGCTTGGTTTTRCTTTCCTTTAAACCATTTTTTAAAAGGCAAGTGTTCTAATTAGAGATTGGAGAGACCTTTATTGTCATCRTACATGAGCACAATGAAATTACATAAATTCATTCCAGCCAGCATTAGAATATAACATTTGAATCATTAATCAACKAAATAAGTGTGTGGTTATTTTTCTTCTGCTCTTAGAATTCAATCTGGAATAAATATTCTATATACAAAAGATTAAAAATGGTTAATTTGATCCTGATTTTTGAGGGAAATGTGACAATGTTTTCAGGTRTAGTGCAGTTTTTGGTTCAATTTTATTCGGTAAATTCTATGCCAGCTTTCTTTAGTCCCGTTTTTACTTCTGTCCTCGTGTCCTTCTGTCTCGCACAGTGTCACGGTGTCTGTCCCTCAGCTGYACCTGTAGCCTTAAAGCTTAAATCTTTAATGCAAATCTGTAATGAAGTACCAGCTTTAGCTCTCTGAAGTGATCTCTCTCAACTCCCCGGAGGGGGGGTTGAAAGACAAAGGGATGGGTGAAGGAACAGAAACGGATACAAAAAGSACGGGAAGGATAACTGACAGAATCTAATTTATTCATCTAATAAAAAGGAGAGGAAATGATCAGAATCAGATGAGAGGATGAGGATGTGCTCGTGCAACAATGGGTATTSGAAAGAAGTGGCACCTGGTTTAGGCCAATATCCCCACAGGAAAACGGATCAGTTCACAGAGCTTTTGGCAAATACTGACTGTGGGCCGAGGACACACATATTAATGCTCCACACACAAACCCCAACTCTTTTTCTAAGGCTTTTAAGCTTACTGTCTGAATAGAAAATTTGATGTATACCGACACACTTGACAGCACAAAATTATCTTGACTGGCAGGTTGATTAAAACTATCCACACACACAATCTACACACACGCACACACACCATCTGGGATGCTTTGTCTTTCTGTCCCGTGCTTTCTTTGTGTGGTGCACAGGCTGAATTATTCCTTCCAAAAAAAAAAAAAAAAAGAAAGAAAAAACACTGCTGGAGATATTTCATCAATATTCAGCTCCTCTTCACTTTTCCTCATTTYATCCCCTCACATTTCTGTCCCTCCCTTCACCGCTCTCACCGCTCGTCTTCCGCAGGCCTGAACGAGTGCGCGGACAACAATGGCGGCTGCTCCCACATCTGCCGGGACCGGAGAATCGGTTTTGAGTGTGACTGTCCCTCTGGATACAAGCTGCTGGACAAAAAGACTTGCGGAGGTAAAGAAATTAAGTCGTGCAACAAAAATTGCCAGAGAACCACGGGTGCCTGTAACGTGTAGTCTCACCTTGTTTTTTTTTAAATTTTTTTATTTTTTTCAGACTGCCTCATTTTTAGCTCAATAAAGCCCTTGTTGATCCTCAGTAGCTCCGAGTAGAAGCTGTGCTCAGGTTTATCGGAACCTTTTTGCTCTCTAGGAATCCCACATTTTCCTCCAAGTTGTTGCTGAATTATTTTTATCGAATGCCTGCCATCTGTGGAGGAAGTTGCTCATTTTTTCTTTAAAACCTTTAGATTTTAACACCTTTACCAGCACTTAAAACAAACGTTTATTTGGTTCAAAATAGCTGGCAGGCTATTATTACTCTGGGCTGTGACTGTTGGCAGTGTCACACATGTGGGAGTCTCCAAAATGATCAGAACACAATTTATTGACAAAGTATTTTTACATACAAGGAATTTGATGTGTTGTTGCAGACCATGCAACATAAACAAGAAATAAAAATCGATTTTTATTTCTTATTCTTTTATTTTCTTACATTTTCTTATCCTTTAAACTTTAAAGGATAAAAAAATGTAAGATATGAAGTTTATAGAAATAGAACATCAGTATAAAATAAATATGAGACTATTGACTAAATAAGCTTAACGAAAACTAGCTAAGAATTGGAGCTAAAGACTAGCAGTGCAAAAAATAAAATAGAACTGCAAGTAAACGTTTCCGCAAATGGAGAACGTTTTGTGCAAATGCTAATTGTAGTGCTCACATCAGTTCAAAATTGTGTTAGTGTAATGCATAATGTCCTTACATTAAAATAGATATATGCTTGTAAATCCTTCTTTTTCACATTCAAATCATTCAGTTGGGGTCTATGCTTTGGTTTGAATTCCTCCTTATTCTCTAACTTYACCAGCTCCTCTTTCACCACTTTTCTGGTGCATGCCTCAAAGCAGCTGGTTTTGATTCTGTTCCTTTAAGGCACTTCAAGCCCCGCCCCCTCCCGCTTCCATACYGGTCCACTCCTGTTTCAGAGAGGGGGTTGTGTTTTGTAACGATCCAGAAACATTTTATTTACWATTGAAAGATGTCAGCKACAGAAGACTTGTCCATCCAGCCCAAGGAGGTTCTATAGAACAGCTGGAGTGCGCAGAAACCACGTGACCGTGTGATCGGCTGGAGAAGCTAACGGCTAACGCTAAACGGTCAAGAGTTTGGATTTCCCATTACTGTACATGTTGACAAGAGAGCAGAAAAAAGGACTGACGTTGTAGAAATCATAAAAACTATTAATAATAATATTAACCCAATTATTATTAATATTTTACAGTTTATATAATCTATCTAATGTTTTAAATAATGTCAGAAAAGCTCTTTGTGTTATGGATTTATTAACAGAAGATAAACAGAAAAACGTCTCATTTTACAACACAAGTCAGCAGATTTGATCTTATTTAACTCAATGTGATCTGAGCAGAACATAATGTAACAGTTTAAAATTAAAATAATCTTATAAAGTCCATGTAATCACTGTTAKTTATTKAACTGGTTAGCASATATTAGCTTGTGGAGCATATATACAGAGTTTAGCTCTGTTGAATCATGTTACAAACTTAACACAAACTTTTAAATATTACTTTGTCCTCTGATTAATATTTAGACCTACAGAGTGTAAAATAATATTATAAATGTGAGTATTTTTAGGTTTCTGTTAGAGGAACCTGACTTGTTGAGAAGATGATTAGCTAACAGAGACAAGTTTCATCCTGTAACCAGAGAACATTTTCTAACTGTTGACTGGTAAATATAAATATTCTTATTTTTATGACAGTAAGCAGAAATAATAAATGTACTTTATTACTAGCTGAAGTCATCATTTTTCAACTAGCTAAAGTCTAAGTTACAGGCTGACTTCAGGTCTGGTTTAGATCATTGTTACTTATAAATTAWATATTTTTCTGGTATAAATCTGCTGTTTTACATGATTGTTGAATGAAATTAACATAATTATTAATTTATTGTAAAAACATGACTGATAATCAGTGAAACAGATCCAGTTCAGCTGCTGTTTATCTATTAGTTTCTATGGAGGCTGTGAGCCGTTGCCCTGTTAAGTACTCACCTCCGTTTGCTTTGTACCCATCCCCACATTTATGATTTAATGTACTGGAGGACTCCCGTCACACATTACATTAAAGGGGGCATATACAAAATCCACTTTTTAGCTGTTAAATACATTTTGTTGTGTAGTTGGAGACTCTAGGAGTGCAGAAAAGTTTAATTTAGTTTCTACTGGTGCTGCAAAAAAATGTCTTTAWATTCTTTTTGGTTCATATTTTTCAGCCCGTTCWRTTTTCTCTATTTTCAAAGAAGTTTTCTGATCTATTACRTCAAATAATCTGCAACTACCATATAAGGTCTTGACTAACCAGCTACAATTTCCTCGTCTTAATTATCCTCTGGTCCTGGGTCAGACTCTGGTTCTGGGTCAGACTCTGGCTCCAACATGTAAGGCTGGATCATAGACTTAAATATTTAGATCACTAGACTGAGCCCCGCCCATACCGTCCACTGGTAGTGTCTGTGACAGCATGGAGGAGCAGAAACGGAGTCTACAGAGGCGGGCACCAAAATAATGTTCTTAGAATAGAGAAACAAGTTGCTTGGCCACAAAATGTTAAAATTCAGTGAGACCAAATCGGACATTTAACTTTTTTATTCACAATTTTAAGTCTCCAACTAGTCTCAAATTCATGCAACCGGGTGAGTTAATTACCCTTAACAGGCCTTTTTTAAATTGGTAATTAAAACCTGCTAACTGCTTAGCTGATTTGAATAAAACCCTTTATATAAGCATAAATTAGCACATAGAATAGTAGTAAAACAACAGCTCTGAAGTTCTCCTGGTTTCATGATGAAAGCTATTTTTATATGCCGCTGTTGTTGAATCAGCTGTGGCTGCACTATGTTATTATAACGTGTTATTATGAGATTGCCAGGTCCAGAATATACAACACAATATCTTGTAGTTTACCACACACCATCTGTTATACTGTAAATATAAGGTTTTAACCTTTTACTGCTTTTCTTCAGAATTGAGTGGCTGTCAAGCTTTACCTGCTGTGGCTGAAGGTTCTATAATAAAATGTGTTCTTAAATATAATTAGTTGACAAACAMGTGTTTTGTGTCTCTGAAACAAAGCAGGAAATATTACACAATAAATTGTTGTGTGCGGTCTGTTTTTTATGCTTTTATTCTGACATAATGAAGTTGATCGTTTACAATAAATTTATCCAGACTCCTTGTTTTCTCCACAGACATTGACGAATGTGAGAACCCAGACGCTTGCAGTCAGATCTGCATCAACTACAAAGGGGATTATAAGTGCGAGTGCTATGAAGGCTACGAGATGGACCCGGCCTCCAAGACCTGCAAAGCTGTGGGTAAGCGATTTGTCACGTAACACAAAATTCTCACACACTTCTCCCTCGGTGGAAGCAGCACAGCCACTGAAAGAGGTTCTCACTAAAATACGTCTATGTGCCCATTAGGCAAAAATCACACATTCAGACCCACTCTTGTATAAACAGCAATTACTCATCGGTTCCAGCGCCCTGGACTACAAAAGTGACACTCTACACTATCCTCACACAGTGGGACTCTGAGAAACAAGACGCTTGCTTTGTATGCAGCGCCCGCACCGCAATCTGTGCAAAGATAAATATTTGCCGTCTTTTTCTTCAGTCCTCAATAATGACAAGTTTGCAGCCAGCTGCCTCTGCTCTCCCCGGGGTGCCAGGAGAAGGATGCTGCGTGAGGAAGGGGCCTGCACTCGCTATAGGACACAGCCAGGCTCTGTAGCCCTTGTTTGCTAGAGAGCACGGTGTTGGGAATGAAAATGAAGCCAGATCTTCTCAGCTGCACATGATAAGAAAAAGTATATTTTACCGTCGTGATTTTGCTGAACATTATATAGTTTTAGTATTCTGACCGATAAATTTGAAATGGAACRTTTGCTCTACACAGTAAATTTACTTTTCAACATGAAAAGTGATAGAAGCATATTATTAGTAATTATAGGCTTAGGTTAAGTCATTATAGGGTGAGCTGCTCTGATAATGAGAGCGCTGAAAGTAGAAAACATACACTGTCACTGAAGCTAAACGGAGTAAAACAAAACCATTGATTRCTTCATGTTCCTCTTTGTGAATCACTATTAGTTAAATAAAATACTCAGTGGTTCTCAAAACGTTTGGGTCTGGGAACCATTTACAGGGGTGAAAAATTTGCAGGGACTCCCTAATAAATATCATGCTGATAGAAAACAATTTCCTGCCATTTTAACCCCTAAATGCCATGGGAGCATTTACACTGCAAAAACTGTCCATCTAGCCAAGTTTTAAAATCTTATATCCAGTCAAAAAGCCTTTTTGATCTTGTTTTGAGACTGATTTACTA